TTGATAGTTCACATGCAGATGTGTGTATAGTATGTGATGTATGTTCTACATGTAAACAAGTGAGGATGACATTTAGAGACATACACTAGCTTTATAACTCCTCACACTTGTGACGCAGACGTCTTCCAGCAGAATTGCTCCTCTCCCCTGCAGGCGCTCTCCCAGGGACAAGGGTGTGATGGTGGGAAGGGCCCGGGGGGCTCCTCGGGAGCTGCGGGGGCCACGCTGGCTCTGCCGGGCACTGCCCTGCATCTGCCCTTCGTGCTCAATGACCTTCCCCGAGAAACCCGACCGGCGCGTCTCCAGGCTGGCTTGGTTTTAGGTTTCATATCTTCTTTCCCAGCTACTGGGGACGTAGTTGCCAAGATTGAATTTGTGTCTTCTCCTTGAAAATCGTTCTCTGCCCTTGACCATGTGAGCTTTGCGTTTTTCCGATTGGAGGCAGAAGGTAGTCACCAGAGGCCGCACTGTGAGACCCCCGCAGACAACCCGCGATTTTGAATTTTCTCCTACAACAGTAGCTGGATCCGAGCCCAGGAACTCTGGCGTGCTCTGAGCTTCTATTTTCTGCATACTGTGTGGTCTGCTCACACCTAGAAAGGCATTCAGATCACTGCTTCCTGCACCAACATCCTCCGTAATCCTCCCTGCTTTTTGGACCAAAGAGTGTATATTTGGAGCGCATAGTTTTTAACACTGTCATTGGAAACATTTGTTGGTTGATGAAATGCTTAAGTCCTGGACCTGACAGCTCCAGTCCTCTGCAATTCTGTGGTATGTGGACACTATGTTACCTGCTGTAGGGCCCAACATTATGTCAGCCGCCCACAGTCAGGCAGTTTGTATGGCAGCTGGGAAGCAGCTCGCTGCTGAGTGCCTGTCACATGCCAGCGTCCTGACTTTGTGGTTTTCACCCATGGAAGCATGAGTGTTGGAGAGGTCTCATCGGCACGACAAATGTTTGGTCTCCCATGCCCCGTGAGCAGTGATGTGACATCTTGGTGCTGCTTCGCGAGTTAAGGTGTCCTGGGTGCCCAGGAAGCACGTGAGTCTGAGAGCGCTCGGGTCTCCATGAGAAAGTGGCGCTGGAGCTAGGGCTTGGAGAGGAGTCTGTCAGCAGAGGAAGAGACAGGCACTAATATCAGCAAGGAAGCATCAAGACCTGCCGCAGTGCCAAGCAGCCCTGGGGCAGGACTCAGAGTGGCCGGGGGGATGCAGGGCTGGGAGGTGGGCGAAGGTGGCCGTGGAGGGGGACGGGGTTTGCAGACAGGACTGTGGCATTGGAGATGCTTGTCTGATCTGGACTCGGCCACGGGGCGTGAGCAGATTTCCCTTGGGCGGCATAGCTGGTGCATTGAGAAGGATGGCTGCAGAGGGCTGTAGTGCAGAGGATGCCTGTGTTACAACACTTGGCGAGAGCCCAGCGCAGCGCAGGGCACGGGGAGGGGCCTGCAACCTGCGGGAACAGAGAGGAGGTGTAGGACGTGTGGACTCTTGGCCTGCTCATCTACATGCTCCTTCACTCATTTTTATTTCATGCCAGGAGTATAATTGAACTTGGTGTTTGCTTGCTCCTTCTCTTACTTTTCTGTGTTTGTAAATATTCGCCTTCATACGTGTGTGTGTGTGTGTGTAAGCTGTAACATATTGTATGAGGGTATCTCAAAAAGAGCACAAAAATTTTTGAAATCTACGCATACTTTAGTTTTTAAGAGGTAATTTTCATTTGAAAGTCTGTATCAGGGAGGGAGCAACACAGAGATTTTCCATCTCTGGTTCACTTCTCAAATGGCTGTCATGACTGGAGCTGTGTGGGTCTGAAATGCAGGAACTTCTCTCTGGCGTCCCACTGGATGCAGGAGCCTGAGCAGTTGCACTGTTTTCCCCTGCGTTCCCAGGTGCATTGGAAGGGACCTGGATCTGAGACGGAGCAGCCAGGACTCCAGCGCCTGTGCGGGAGGCTTGACTCGTTATACCACAACGTTGGCCTCCCAGCAGTGTCCTGATGCTCACTTTACGTCACTGTTGTAGGTACCCTTGTAAATGCTGTAGTAAAAGGAGGTGCCTCTTCGCCACCTCGGTGTCTTAGAAGTCATTTTTTGTCAGTGAACCTTGAACTGCCTAATTGTTTTTGGCAGCTGCTTACTGATCCATGGTTTACATGCGCCATGATCCACCGACCAGTCCAACAACAAGCATTTAGGCTTCCTGACTGTGGCTCATCTTACATAGATGCAGCTTTAACAATCCCCTGGGATGGCTGCAGAGGGTGCACAGTTGGAGTTGAGCTTGTTGCTGCACTGTGTTCTGTACTGCTGGTTGTCTTGTTCCTGCACCAGGCTGCCAGTTGCCACATTTTTCTTGGTGAGCTGGAAGTGGGCGGAAATGTAGCTTTCCTTATGAAGGTACCACAAAAAGCTAATGGAAATGGAATTTAAAAATCTAGTATGTGAGCTTTTCAAAGTACACTATGTTTGAATCACTTGCGAAGCATTCTTTTTCCTCTTGTGTGATGGACCTTATTTAGCCGTAGTGCTGCTTGGTAAAGAAGGAAGGTAGGCAGGGAAATTGGTGTTTGACTGGTGTTTTCTCCCCGATGTGATGGCTTGTCTTTCAGAAAAACCTTTCATATAGTGGTTACTGTAAAGATGTTTGTTTTGTTGTTTTAAGGCTGGACGTGGCAGGGGTTTGTTACTTTGGATAGCTTCTGAGTTTCATGTCCTACTTGGGGAAGATCTCTACTCCATAGTTTTTATTTTTCATTGTATTTGAAAAGCAAAAAAAAAAAAAAAAAAAAGATCTCTGCTTCACTGACTCACCCCGAAAATGCCCACCACAGCAACCAGGGCTGGGCGCAGGACGTGACAGGAACTCAGTCCAGTCAAAGGGACCCAAGTGCTTGATCCCTTTTGCCTCCCAACCTGCAGCTCAGCAGAAAGCCGATTCAGAAGAGGCGCTAGGACTCAACTTCAGGCACTCCCTTATGAGGTGCGGGCATCCCGAGTGGGGTGTTCACAGCTGTGCCCTGTGCCTGCTTGGCACACCGTATCTCATGTCAGTGCCAGTTTAAGTCTCTGCTCTGCTTTTGATTGCAGCTTCCTGCGCATGCGCACCCGAGCAGCAGCAGGGGATGGCTTGAGTTCTTGCATCTCTTGGCAACCATGTGGGGGAGTTCCCTTAATGTAATTATCTTATATTAGTATCATACCTTTAAAAATGAGACAGTCATATTTTTTCCACAGATGTTCTATTCTATGCAGAATATCCTAATGTGGTCACCATGTTGCCTTTACTCACCTCTCCTTAGACATGAAACAAACTTATCAATTGCAAAACAGTGTGTGACTACTATGTGTGTAGTTCTTTTTGTTTTTAGCCTTTTTAGTATCCAAATATTGTTTTCCAGAGGGACCATTATGTAGCCTTTTGAATCTAGTTTATTTCACTTAGAAAAACTTATTTAATAATTCATCCATAGTTATATAAATCAATCGTATGTTCATTTTTTAACTGAAGTAAACATGAAAGATTTATGTATTGGGAAGAGTTACGGAGGGAGAAGCAGAGAGAAGTAGGTCAAGTCTCCCAGAGGGTGCAGGGGCCCAAGCCAGTGGGTCAGCCTCTACTGCTTTCCCAGGTGTGTTAACCGGGAGCTGGACTGGAAGTGGAGCACTGGGGACACGTGCCAGCATCTCCTTTGGAATTCCAGCTTTGCAGCATGCTGGCTGATTAACCCCACAATGCCGCAACACTGGCCTCATAAAACCACTTTAAAACAAATAATTCAGTGTCGTTCAGCCACCATGTAGGTGCAATTCCCAAACATGTATTTAATACTTAAGTTTAGAATTCTAAGAGTGTAATGATGGCTCCTTCTTTCCTGTTTCTCACTCTGACGTTTCTGCTCTGCGAGGCGAAGCCCTGTCCTCACGGAGTGGTTCCCCCTGCTCCTCCCTTCCCCAGCCTCTGGCAGCCAGCACTCTGCTCTGTTTCTTAGACTTGGGTGTTGTAGATATTTCACAAGTATAGGGCCCGGCGCCATGGCCTGGCGGCTAAAGTCCACACCTTGAACGTGCTGGGATCCCATATGGGCGCCGGTTCTAATCCTGGCAGCTGCACTTCCCATCCAGCTCCCTGCTTGTGGCCTGGGAAAGCAGTCGAGGACGGCCCAAAGCCTTGGGATCCTGCCCCAGCATGGGAGACCCGGCAAGAAGTTCCTGGCTCCTGGCTTCAGATCGGCGCAGTTCTGGCTGTTGCAGTCACTTGCGGAGGTGGGGGGTGGTGTGAAGCATTGGAAGGAAGAGCTTCCTCTCTCTCTCCCCCTCTCTGTATATCTGCCTTTCCAATCAAAACAAAACAAAAATTTATCTAATATCTGACTTCTTTGACTTAACACATTTTCAATGTCCAGCTGTATCTTTTTTTTTCTAATTGCGGCAGAATGTGTATGACAAATCTTAGCCACTGTTACTGTGTTTAAGCAGACAACTAATGTCACTACATTCTCAGTACCAGAACTCCATTCTTCTTGCTGAATGATGTTAGCTGCATGAGTATCACATTTTGCTTGCCCATTCATCAGCTGACGGACAGTTGTGGTGTTTGCACCCCTCAGTGACTCCAGAATCCTGCCATCACTGCCAACATTGGCTCCCAGGTGTCTGTCTGGTCCCTGTTTTTACTTATAAAATTTTAGTATTCCCCTAGGAGTACAGTAGCTTGTTGATACTTGCTCTAGAAATGGAATTGCTGCTCATTAGCTTTCCAGGTAATGGTAAGTCTAATTCCAGAGTGTTTAGTCTTGACACGTGGTTCTCTGAGATTTTTGGGATTTTGCTGACTCGGAGTATGTAGTGGTATTTCAATGTGACTTTAATGAGGTTGAGCACATTCTTTTTTTGTGTCATGTCTGCTGATTTTCCAACTGGTGGATTTTCTATCTGAACTAATGCTGATGAATTCATATCTCCAAGTAACGTGTAGTCTTTGTGTTTCTGCAGAACAAATAGTGGAGAAAGATGAAGGTCCGTATTACACTCACCTGGGATCTGGCCCCACGGTCGCCTCTATCCGGGAGCTCATGGAGGAACGGTGAGTGCTGTGCCCAGTAGCAGGAGGATGGGCTGCTCTTAAGGCCCTCTGGGTGCAATGCTTTCTGCCAGATGAGAGACGTGCAGGGAGCGAGCCCTGTCTCTGCAGACTGTAGAAGGTTGAGGTTGTCAAGTCTGTCTTGAATCCGTGGCTCTGTCCTCCTCCTAGGATGCGTTTCCTGGAGAAGCACGGTCTGGTTTGTGCTGGCTTCCGACAGTCTGGTCTGTGCTGGTGGCCTTTCCATGGTGTCGTGTGCTGAGCCCTTCTGCCCTCTTGTGTGTCCTGTGTATTGGAAACTGGGTTTAAAAGGCATCGGTTGGGTTTGCGTTGTCAAAATGACTTTGGAGGAGGTGCTTGGTAGCCCCAAGAAGAGGTGCAGTAGGAACCTCCAGCCAGTTGGGAGCCTGTTCGGGATGACCCGGTCCTGGCAGTCCTAACAGCTTGATCCGCCACATGAGAAGATGTTCTGGGCACATGTTCTACTTCAATCCAAACAGTTCTGGCTCTTGTTGGAGGTGAAGTGGTCAGAAAGAGGCTCTGAGCCGAAGGAGTGTCCATCGCAATGAGGGGTTATTCATTGTTTCTAGGTTGTAGGAGGAGGAAGATCAGAGTTTTTGGTGGCTGTTTAAAATTTAACAGTTCTTGGTTTTATGTGTGTTGTAAGCAATTCTTACAGAGACTCAACGACGGTGGACATGTCCATGGCATGTGGTCAGTGCCATGGGTTTTGGTCTGTGCAGAGTTCATACAGCTCGGAGCCTGAGGGCAGGGATGCTGAAGCTGAGTGTCTCTGCTGTAGGGATGTTGTGAGGATAAACAACCAGTGCATGGAGAGCACATAAGTGCTAAGTGCTTGTTCTCAGTACTGTGGAGTAGGGGTGCTTGGTCTGCCTTATACTGTTATCCACTGATTCGCTTTTCATAACAAGCATTAGCATTTTTTAAAAAGTAGATTTATTTATTTACTTACATTTTGAAAGATTTACAGAGAGGAGAGATGGAGATCAAGATCCTCTGTCCACTGGTTCACTCCACAAGTGGCTATAATGGCCAAAGCTGAGCTGATCAGAAGCCAGAAGCTTCCCCTGGGTTTCCCACATGGGTACAGAATCCTAAGGCTTTGAGTCATCCTCTCCTGCTTTCTCAGGCCACAAGCAGGGAGCTGGATGAGAAGTGGAGCTGCTGGGACACGAACTGCCACCCATAAGGGATCCTGGTGCACGCAAGAAAGAATTTAACCATTAGACTGTCATGCTGGGCCCAGTCATTAGCATTTTTATAATAAAGGCAGAGGCTGTTTAGACCTAGCATGGGTTTTGTTCCTACAGAAAAATTCAACTGTGGGAGTATGTCTCTGAAAGACCCAAGCTAGTCCTGTTAGAATAGCAGGAAAGGGGCCAGCACATGGCCCAGTGGGTTAAGCTACTGCTTGCAGCACCAGCATCTTGCATATCCCTGGTTCCAGGCCTGACTGCACTGCTTCTGATCTGGCTCCTTACTTGGGTGCCTGGGAAAGCAGTGGAAGATGACTCAAGTTCTTGGGCCCCTGCACCCACATGGAAGACCTGGCTCAAGCTTCTGGATTCAGCCTGGCCCAGGACTGGCTGTTACAGTTCTTTCGAGGGTGAACCAGCGAATGGAAGGTCTCTGTGCCTCTCTTTTCTGTAATTGGCTTTGAAACAGCTAAATAGTAGGAAACATGCTTTTGACTGAGTGACTGAATGGATGACAAGGGATCTGGGTGGAGTAGCCCTAAATTTCCTAGGCTGTGTGCAAACATTTATGTTCAGCCACGCATCCAGCAAAAAAAAAGTTTGATCCAAGGCCCCATCTTTAGATTCAAGCCTGATGTGAAGGGCATCTCTGAGCCCGTGAAAGCAATGCAAGCCTGCGGCTGTGTATGCCTGTGCATGCCTACCCACCTGCACCCGTGTGGGTGCTGTCGTTGCCAGGGTCAGCCTGACTGTGTTCTTCTGGTGACTTCTTTCCCCCATTATGAGAGAGAAACACATACTTCTCCATTCACAGGCTCTCTCCCCAAATGCCACTGTGGCCAAGGATAGAGCAGGCTGAAGCACTGAGCCGGGAGCCCAGTTACTGAGCTGTCGGTGCTGCCTCCGAGGGTCTGAATCAGCAGTGTGGGATCAGAAAAGCGATAGAGACCCGAACTGGGGGACTCTGCGGTGGAATATAGACATCTTCACGGGACCCAAACACCCATCCTGGCAGCGCTTGCTTGCAGTTTGTAAGAGTCAAGCGTGCAAGTTCTGTCTGTGATAGATTGATTTGGGCTTTACTTTGTTTGGTAACAATTGTATGAGGTTTCCAGACAGCCCTATAAATTAGTTTCAGTTATAGAATAATGTATTTGAAATAAGGTTTAAGAGAGTGGTGAATTTGGGATTTGTCTTTTTCCCTCCTTGCTTTAAAAATAACAGCCAACTGTAAATTGCTGAGAAACTGGTCCAAGGGAGGAATCCCTCAGACCAGGAATACTTGCGTTTTTCCTCAGCAACTGGTTTATTTTTATCTTGAGGACCTTGTAAATCGTGTAACAGATTGCGTTTGTATCTTTATGTTGTCTCTGGTAAGCTCAGAGCCAGATTTGTGTACCGCCGTGTGGCAGAAGGGAATTCTCACCTGTGGCCCACGGGCACTTGTGCCAGCAGGGTCGCCTCTGGGTCCTTGTGATGTCACTCTGGGTGGGAAGATTGGCCTTTAGATTTGCCATTCTCAAGCTGTTCTGGCCTCCTTCCTCAAAGCACGAGTCCCCACTGATTCTTGGTGTCTGCGTCTCCTCCGCCCATCCCAGGTTTTCATCACCTGTTGCTTTTATCTTACTTGCATCTTTTTGACATCTTTGCTGGAACAAGAAGAGGCCTGGGTGGTGATGGGCTTCCTGCCTAGCTCCTTGCTTGGGCTTCTCCCTGTGCTCTCTGTCCACAGGACCACCCTGTTGGCAGGGTCAGACAGAGACAGGCAAGGCAGGGAAGCAGAAATCTAGGTCATGGTGCTTGTAGATTTTAGAGAAAGCAGGGGGGGTGGGGGCGGGGAGATAAGGGCAGATCGTAAGATGTCCCAGTTTATTCCTGATACCCAGGTTCTTATTGTCATGGGTAACTGGAATCAGTTGTCAACCCCATAGCCAACTGGTGTGCACAGTTTTGTGTGTCCCCTCTGAGAGAAGATGTTCTCGGAGCCTGGGGTTTCACTCAGTGCTCTTCCTGCAGACCAGGAACTGACCCTGTATGGCAGGTCCTCGGAGCTGGTACAGGGAAGTGGTTGTTCAGCCCAAGGAGTGGCAGCATCTCCTGGGGGCTTGGGACAGTGCCCACCACCAAGCTGCCTGTGAGCCCAGTAGATGCCCGGGAGTCACGGCTCTGCTCCTGCTGAGCCCCAGGGGCCACTACGGGTCCTGTGACCATCTTGGCCATGCTTGCCAGGCATGTGAGAGGAAAGCTGCAGACCTGCTAGCAAATGCAGTTTTTGTGTGTCCTAGGAGGGTGTCTTCATGATGGACCGGAAAGTGAAGCATCCAACAAGGAGCTAGAGGGAAAGAGCAAGAAAAAGGAGCTAGCTGATTGGGCAGTTCACTGTAAGGTGAATGTCAGTGCAGGGAGGGGAGGACACGGTCAGAGCACCGCCAGCCGTGTCCTCGGATCACCCTCTGGCAGGAAAGTGATCAGTCTTCCTCCGCAGTGAGCGCAGCGTGGTCGCTGGGACTCCTCTCCCCTGCAGGGATCCCCAGGACACGCAGGGTCAGTGCCTGCACTATGGGAGGCTTCCTGATAGTTGCTGACCTAGCAAAAGTTGTCCAGGAACCAAACAAAAGCGGTATTCTGTGCACCCTTACCTCCTGATTCAGGCGGTGCTGAGTAAATGCCGAGTCCTGACTCCAGAGTCTTCCTGTGGCCGACTAAATGCTCCTGAAGTGTTCTGTTGTATTTGAAGGATTTCTTTGAGAGGAAAAGAAAGGAGACAGAAAGCTCCCATTTGCTGGTTCACTGCCCAAATGCCCACCACAGCTGGGGCTGGGCCTGACTGAAGCCTCGCAGGGACCCACTCTGGGCCTCCTAGTGTGGATAGCAGGGACCCACGTACTGGAGCCATCACATTTGGCCTCCCAGAGCACCAGGCAGCTGGAACAGGGAGTGGAGCCAGGGTTCCAGTGCAGGCACAGGGATGCGGGTGTTCCTAGTGGCAGTATAAACAGTCGTGCCAACGCCTTTGGAACTGAAGATTGTGGTTATTGCAAACATTCTCACCCTTTTGCTAAGTTATCAAGTGAACTATAAAACAGGGAACTCAGAGGAGTCTGAAATCAGCATATTTTTAAAAATTGCTGTTCTTGGGCCCAGCACAGTAACCTAGTGCCTAAGGTCCTCACCTTGCATGCACCAGGATCCCATATAGGTGCCAGTTCATATCCCAGCTGTTTCATTTCCCACCCAGCTCCCTGCCTGTGGCCTGGGAAAGCAGTCAAGGATGGCCCAAAGCCTTGGGACCCTGCACCCGTGTGGGAGACCTGGAGCAGGTTCCTGGCTCCTGGCTTTGGATTGACTCACTCCTGGCCATTGTGGCCACTTGGGGAGTGAACCAATGGATGGAAGATCTTGCTTTCTCTCTCTCCTCCTCTCTGTAAATCTGATTTCCAATAAGAATAAATAAATCTTTTTTAAAAAGTTGCTGTTCTCTAATTTTGAAAATGGAGTAAAAGGCTTTTTTTTTTTTTTTTTTTTTTAATTGGGGCTGGAGGGAACAGGAAGGAAAGTATCTCCTGCCGTGGTGACAGAATGGGGGCTGCCGGGGCAAGGGACGGGGCAGGGGACGGGGCAGGATGGAGGACGGGGAAAAGGAGAAGGAAAGAGGCTTTTTTCCTCTTTTTTTTAAGTGTTAGAATAAACAAGGCTCTCTGGCAGTTACTCTTCACGGAAGAAACTTACTTTGCATGTTTGGTGCTTTCCCTGCAGTCTTTCCAGGCCTTTCCACAGGGCTAGTTTGATGTAGACTGTTAAAGTAACATGCCATGTTAGCTGATCAGAGATCTTCTTAACTCCTGGGGTGTTAAAATATGTTTGATAAGTCATCAACTTGATTGGAAATGTCTAGAACAAGAGACCTTGTCAGTAAGGAGGCCTGCCTCTTCCCAAAACCACTGGAAGGAGATGGCTGCAGTTCAGCTGGACAAGCCAGCCGGTGCTACAAATGCACCAGGCAATACAGAGCCCCAAGACGGGAACCATCACACCAAGGATGGGAAGGAGCAGGTACCGGATGATGTGATGTTGCACCTGGAACTTAAGGTGTTCTTCAAAGAAGATGGTTCCATGAGACAGTTTTTACCCATTGAAAGTAATGGTTGTTTATCAGGCTCATCTTTTATGCCAGGGGCTTTAAAGTCCTGTGGCTATTGCTATCTTCATGAATTGTCATTTCATCTTTACCAAAACCAGGAGGTAAGAGCCATTCATATCTATTTTGTAGAAAAGCAAGCCGAGGCTTAAAGAAGTTCATCGAGTTATCCGCAGTTACTGAATACATGTGTAAGCTGATGCTAAGACCCAGTCTGAGCTTCAGAGCTACCCTTTTCTTCAAATTTGTTTTCATTTTATTCGGAAGACAGATTAATAGGTGGGGAGAGATCTTCCTCTGCTGGTTCACTCCCCAAATGGCCAGGGCAACGCCAGGAACACGAAGCTCAGTCTAGGGCTGCATCTGTGGATGGCACAGAGCCCGGGCACTTGAGCCGTGACCTGCTGCCTCTGGACTCCCCCGGTGCTCCCGTATGGCATGTGAGCGTCCATGCAGACCAGACTTCTGCCATTTGCCTGCCCTTCCCAGACTGTGCTAAACCACCACTGCCCCATCGAATTGTGTGACCTTCGGCAAGTCCGTTGAATCCTGGGTGGAAGGGTCTCAGAGGACAAGGACCATAAGTCCTGAGAGAGTGTATGCAGATGGAGGAGCAAGCCAGGGGCCCCGCAGAATGCAGGCGAACATGGGAGCCTGTGTTGGTGCTTGGCAGGGTCACCCTCCTCCCCACATCCCCACAGTGTCAGCTGAGGTTGTAAGCACTATAGAGGTGTCTCCCATTTATTTTCTTCTGTTGAATTTGCAAGTGGTTAACTCGGGGTAGCTCAGTTGTGGTGGTGGGGGCTGTGAATGCTTGCCTGCACCCTTGGCTCAGGGGCCAGTCTGTGTGACCACCCCTGCATCCTGGGACCACGGTAGGGCCTGAGGAATGGAAGTGAGGAAGGAGCTGATGAACCAGGCCCTGCAGGCTCAAGCATGGCCACTGAGTCCCCGTAGCCTCTAAAGAGAGACTACATTCAGACCTTTACCTCTTTCTCCCTCTTGTTCCGCTTCACCCTCTGCTGCCTGCACAGGCGGGAGGAGCAGGGCTTCCTGCTGTGAGCAGATGTCCTGTGGGCTCTGCTCTGCTAACACTGGCTTTTGTCTGCCTCCCTAGGTATGGGAAGAAAGGGAAAGCCATCAGGATTGAGAAGGTCATCTACACCGGGAAGGAGGGCAAGAGCTCCCGCGGCTGCCCCATCGCCAAGTGGGTGAGTGTCAGGTCCCTGTTGCTGAGGCTGTGCCCTGCTCCCCCAGCCTCCTGTCGCACGTCACTGCTCAAGTTGTGGCGGAATGTTTGTGCTCCCCTCGTCATATGCCCTCCCTAGGCTGGCCTTGGGACTGTGTCCGTCATCACTTGGTTTGTGCCCTGTTGGTTCAGTGCTGGTTCAGGAAGAGGGAGAGCGAGAGATGCTGTCTTCACCCAGCTCTGGGCGCCACTGGGGACCATTGGATTCCTTCTGCCCCCTCTGTGCCCCTGTGCTCCTGTCCGCTGCCTGGAAGGCTGACACAGAAGCAGGGCTGGCAGGCAGTGGGCCAGCTGTGCCACTTGATGCGCAGGGTCTGATGCCCCATTTCCATGTGGTCAGTCTGAGGGTCCCAACAGGAAGTGGTCACAGACCCAAGCCCCTTCCGTCAGCATGGCTGTCCTGACCTAGCCCTCATGGTCCCCAGAGAGCTCAGGCCAGCGGAGTCCCTGCTTGTGCTGAGGCTGTGGAACAGTGCCTCGGGTAGTTGCCAAGCGGCGCAGAACTGGGCAGGCTCCAGACTATGTCAGCTGCGCTGTGGAGACAAGCAGAGTCGGGGTAGCCCTGGACGAGGGACCACATGCACCGGCCGACTTCGGCTGCTCAAGGGGCCCGGGCAAGGGCATGAATGGTGGCAGGAACATTCAGACTAGTTTTTTTCTTGAGAAGTGGAATGTGCTTGTGCCCGTGGCTTCAGGGCTGTACTGTGTGGGCTGAGGAGAAGGTGGAGATATATTCCTGGTGAGGAAGGTCAGGTGGGTGAAGGCCGAAAGGCCGGGGGATGGAGGGAGGAAGGTGGTGAGACGGCTTTGGTCAGCATTCGTCCACCTGTGCTCCCGCCCGTCTTGATCTGCTCTGTACTACGTGCCTTTGCCTTTCAGGAAAAGGTGTCTGAACTTGAGCAATCACATAGCTATTTTTAGTGATTGTTTTCTATTTTTAGTGCTCGTCAGTCAGTAGTGCGGAATTACATGTGACAGGAGAATCTGGACTAGTTAGTGCAGTCACAGGTCTGCGCCCTTGTGAGTGGTGAGCATTGCAGGGGCAGGTCAGAGGTCGCTGCTGAAGGTGGGGGCTTGCCCTGCTCCTCCCGGCGCCTCCTCCCTGCCAGGAACAACCAGGGAAGTGACATGAGCTGCTGGGAGAAAGCTGGCAGTCCTCCTGCCGACCCTCATGATCGTTGAGGGAATCCCAGTGGGGGGTGGGCTGGAAGCTGTGTCCAAAGCAGAGCGCAGGAGCTTTTCCCACTTCAGGGAAGATGGCGTATTAAAGTCTGGGTGGCTTTGAAGAGGACGTGCGTCTCCAGAGGCCTCGGGCAGCCTGAGATTGCGTCTGCCTACCTGGCATCCCGTGGGGGTTCCGAAGCCCAGGCGGTGATGTGTGGAAGGGGAGGCAGTGACAGCGTTCCCGGGTCTGGTGACGGAGGAGCAGATGGCTGGTACACCCCAGGCCCGTGACAGCAGCAAGTGTGCTCTGAAGTGACAGCTTTCCTAGCTGTTTCCTTCCAGGCAGTGCACTAGTGTGGGACTTGAGTTTTTGTAAGCTATTCAGTTGCCAAACAGCCTACTATTTTGGTAGGAGGAGTTGCTTAGAGTTCTGTCCTTCGGAAGTTGGAGGGAGAGGCAGGAATTCATTCCCTCTCCCTGCACTGCTGGAAACGTGACTCACACATGCTTAGAGGGACACAGCACTCCAACGCAGCTCCTGGCTGACGTGCCTGGCCCATCCCCAACTGATGTGGACATAAACCAGCAGATGAAAAATCTCTTTTCTATGTCCCTCTGCCATTCGGGTCTTTAGAAGAGGGGCAGTGATTTGCAGATGGTTTTGCCGCAGGCCGCGTGTCGCCGTGTGGAGGGCTCTGAGGGTGTGCAGTGAGAGGGAGAGAAGCCAGGTCACCAAAGCACAGATGGAATGCGGTTCTGCTTACAGGAGGGGGTGATGAGGGTCGTTTGGTGAATAGAGAATTTTAGTTGCAGGAGGAAAAATTTAGATGAAGTGATAATTGTCCAATAATGCCTATGTAGCCAGAGCCACCAAAATATAAAGATGATTATAGTAGTAAAAATTATGTGTATTTTTTAAACTATTTTTTTAAATTGGAAAGGCGAATATACAAAGGAGGAGAGATGACGATCTTTCAATCCACTGGTTCACTCCCCTATTGGCTGCAATAGCCGAAACTGAGCCAATCTGAAGTCAGAAACCAGGAGCTACTTCTGGGTTTCCCACACGTGGGTGCAGGATCCCAAAGCCTTGAGCCATCCTCTACTGCTTTCCCAGACCACAGTCAGGGTGGGAAGTGGAGCAGCCAGGATACAAACTGGAGCTATATGGGATTCCAGCAGATGCAAGGTGAGAATTTAGCCACTAGGCTATCGTGCTGGGCCCAAAATAATGTATATTTTACCACAAGAAAAAATGTTGAATATGGTACTCATAGTTTTTATTTGTTTATTTCTACTGGAAAGTTAGATTTTACAGGGAAGGAGAAAGATAACTCCCCTACAGGCAGAGCTGAACCATTCCAAACTCAAGAGCCTGGAGCCCCCTTTGGATAAGCTCCCAAGCATCTGTGCCGTCCTCCGCTGCTTTCCCAGAAAGTAAGCAGAGAGCTGGGTCAGAAGCGGGGCAGCTGGGGCACAAACTGGCACCTGTATGGGATGTCAGGGCTTGCAGGCAGAGGATTAGCCTGTGGAGCCATTGTTCTGGCCCTGGGGTTGTAATAGGGAAGTTTCATGTAAAAGTTTTTTCTTTTGTTTCTTTTGTTACAAGAGTGGAAGAAATTATCTGGAGAAGGCTGGAACTCTGATAGGGTAGGGTAGGCTGGTGAAAGGCCTGGTGCCTGCACTGGAACGGTAGACCACGAGTCACTGCACTGAAGTTACTAGTCTTGTGGGCTGACCCACTTACTTCCCTGACACAAGGGCCCTTCAAAAGTTTGGGGAAATAGAATTAAAAGATAAAAATTTGAGTCCAGTGAGGCAGCCTAGTAGCTAAAGTCCTCACCTTGCACGCCCGGGATCCCATATGGGCGCCGGTTCTATCCCGGCAGCCCCGCTTCCCTTCCAGCTCCCTGCCTGTGGCCCGGGAAAGCAGTTGAAGATGGCCCAAAGCTTTGGGACCCTGCACCCGCGTAGGATGCCCAGAAAAGGCTCCCTGTTTTGGATCAGCTCAGCCAGGTGGCAATTGCAGCCACTTGGGGAGTGAACCAGCCGATGGAAAATCTTTCAGTCTCTCTTGTCTCTGTAAATTTGACTTTGAAAAAAGAAATAAAGATAATAAAAAAGGTAAACATTTAGCACATTTCTGAAATTTATGGATTCTTTCATAGCATGCATTCCCATGAACTTGGGAGGGTTCTCAGATGCATACATCTCCAAATTTTCTATCAAATATTTTAATGCCATTTTCACAATCTTGAGTTTTTAATATTCATTTTATTTGAAAGAGTTAGAGAGAGAGATGCCCTCCTTGTACTAGTTCGATCCCCAAATGGCCCCAGCAGCTGGGACTGGGCCAGGTCAGATCAGGGAGCTTCTTCCGATACACACGTGTGTGTGCAGGGACCCCGGTGTGTGGGCCATCCCCCACCGCTGCGCCCGGGGCGTCGGCAGGACATTGGATCACAAGTGGAACAGCTGCAATGCAGTAGATGCAGTCGCCTAGTCAGTTCTGCCCACATGAGGTGCCGGCACTACAGGGGCAGCCTGCTGTTCCTCCATGCTGGCCCCGATGCCATTCTCTATAAGCTTGGTGCATCGCCCTCTGGCTTCCTGCCTGGCAGGGCCAGCTGGATTCAACAGGCTCTCAGGGGTCCCTCAACCTCAGCATGTGCCCTGGGAGGCGACGGGTGCACCTGCTCGGTCTCCCAAGCCTCGGAGCAGGCCATCACTGAGGGCTTGTCCCTGTTGCTCGGCCTCGGGAACCCACACCCTTTCCTGTTTGTTTCCCCTGCTGTCTCCCAGGATCCGACAAGCTTGCGTTACACCAGGGTGTGTGGCTCGTCTGCTTAGGTTGCTCTTGTCCTGATCATCTGCCTCTTTCTTCTTTTTTTCTTTTTGCTATTTTTATTTTTAACTTTAATTTTAGTGTTGTTTACGTAGATGAGAGGAGGTGTGTCCACGTGGGCCTCTGACTGGGATAGAGAGAGCTAAGTCATGGAGGAAGATGGGTGGGCAGGAGCCTCCCGTTTGCTTCCTTTTCTCCTGTGTCTGCAGAGGGGGTAGGGAAGGGGACCCTATTTTGCTACCAAACCGCAGCAGCACCCGGAGATGGGGGATGGTCATCTGTTGTCTTCTTTTTAAAGATTTATTTTTATTATTATTTTTTTTATTGGAAAGGCGGATATACAGAGAGGAGAGACAGAGAGAAAGATCTTCCATCCGATGATTCACTCCCCAAGTGAGCACAATGGGCCGATACTATGCCGATCCGAAGCCAGGAGCCTCTTCCGGGTCTCCCACGTGGGTGCAGGTTCCCAAAGCCTTGGGCCGTCCTCCACTGCTTTCCCAGGCCACAGGCAGGGAGCTGGAAGGGAAGCAGGGCTGCCAGGATTAGAACCGGCGCCCATATGGGATCCCGGGCGTGCAAGGCGAGGACCTTTAACCACTTGCGCCACCGCGCCGGGCCCCATCTGTTGTCTTCTTATGAACTCGAGTTGAGGGAAAATATTCCGAGGGTATCACTTGAGTGGTTTTGATAGTTCTGAGATATTGTTGATTTCATTGCTCCAGCATTGAGAAAATCTTTCCAAGATCTACTAGTTGACCAAGTCCACCTTAGTGAATCCACAGACCCAGACACTTGCTGCCAAAGTTTGGCCAGGAGAGTTACCCAATCTGTCCTGTTATCCATCCTCTAACATGGCACTTGCCATCCTCTCCTGGCCTAGATGAGCTGTCATGTCCCCTGTCTGGGTCTGGGCATGCTGTCCACTGCATGGGCATCAGCAACTGAAGAGGCCCCGTGCCTGAACATGCGCTCCAAGGTCAGACCACGTATCTTGTGCTTTTCCCCATGACCTGAGTTTGCGTCCAGTGTTCCAGCTGGGGAGTTCCTGAAGAAGCACTGCCTGGGGTAACCTTGGACTTCATTTGGGTCAAGGGTGTCCATCACCTGCACTAGCCAACTCATATACTGGTAGATGCAGTTCTGCCTCCAGTCCCATCTCTCACATGAACCAGTGGGTGCTGCGGCCTAGCCCAGCCCAGCCCAGCCCAGCCCAGCCCAGCCCAGCCCATCACAGGCTTGGTCTTCACACACACTAGCAGATGCCACGGCCTTGCTGATGTGATCCGCAGTTAACCCCCTACACGCACCCAGGCCCACCGTCAGCCCGGTTTTTGTGTGTGCTAGTACGTGCTGTGGCTTAGCCTGGTCTGTCCCACATCCCACTTGGCCCTTGTGCATACCCTCTGGTGCTACAGCTTTGCTTAGTCCGCTGCAGCCCTGGCTCTCATGCGCACCAGCAGGAGCTACAGCCTAGTAGAGCCCATAGCTCTGCTACCAGAACCACTCCCAGCCCCACAGCTTGCATTTGTCAGGGCAGGCCAGGGGAGGTGGGAGAGATATAGTCCAGTCTGACGTGACCTGCACCCAGTCCCAGCACCTGCCAGCAGATACTGCTCATCTGCCCCTTGCTCAAATGTGAAATGAGGAAGCCCCCTGCTGTCAGTCCTGCAACAGCCCTGCATCACAGTCCGCATCCGGCCTTGTCCTGCCCCTCTTCTCAGGCCCCTGCAGTTTCTGGTTACAGCATTTCTGGGGATGCTCGACATCCCTGGTCCCCAGTTCCAACCCTCCCTAACACATTTCTTCCTTTGGGGGAGGGAGCGAGAACTGTGAGAAGGACCTGGCCAGATCCCAAGCTGCAGAGCAGGGCCATGCCCAGGGCTCCACTGTTTTGTTTGAGATGTGACCCATATGAGACCTGTAATTTATCCATTCAAAGCTTATAGCTCAGTGGGGTTTGCTGTAGATTTTATTGTGACAAGAATTGGCATTTTAGCTGTCTGAATGGACAGGCGGTGGCATTGAGTACATTCATACTGGTATGTAAGCATCTCAGCGTGCCTGAGATGGAGGGAGAGACAGATCGTCCACCTACATGAGTAGCACTGGGCCAGGCCAATGCTTGGAGCTCTGTCCTAATCTCATGTGGGTGACTCGGGGCCCAAGTGCTTGAATTGTTTCCCTAAGTGCATCAACAGGGAGCTGGGCTGAAAATGAAGCAGCTGGGATTTGAACCAGAACTCTGACATGGGATGCTGCTGTCACAAGAGGTGCAGCCTAATGTGCTGTGCCACAACGCCAGCTGCCACCACCAGTCCTATTTCCTGAACCTTTTCATCATCCCAAACTGGAACTCTGTATCATCAGTACCTCTTCTCCCTGCCTAGTTCTTGATAACATCTATTTTCATAATAATTCAGTTTTGCTTGGTACCCTATAAAAGTGGAATCATGGTATTGGTCCTTTTTTGAGTGTATGTGTGTGTGTGTGTGTATACACACATTTGTTTTAAAAGACTTTGAAAGAGAGAGGGAGGCAGAGGTAGAGATTTCCCAACCACTGGTTCACTGCCCAGTTGGCCGCAGTGGCTGTCTCCCTGCCAGGCAGAGCTGAGTTCATCCAGCAATCCCACGTGGGTGCAGGGATCCAAGCACTTGGGTCATCCTTCGCTGCTTTTTCCCAGGAGCATTAGCAGGGATCTGGATTGCAAGTGGAGCAGCAGGGATACGAACCAGTGCCCATAAGGTGTGCTAGTGTCACCAATGGCAGCTTAACCTTCAACGCCACAGTGCCAGCCCCGTATCTCTCTGACTTCACAGCTGTGCTGAATACAGGTCTCCCTCACTGCAAAGGCTGCGTGACATTCTGCCGTGTTCATGATGACCCGCTGGCCGGAGGCTAGCAACCACTCGGGCTGTTGACACCGGTTCACCTGTGCTCAGTAATGCTCTGGCGAATGCTGGGGTCCAGGCCTCTGCGTCCCTGTAGTCCGTTCACTTGGGACCTCGCCTGGGAACCAGTTGCTGGCTCACAGGGTAATCCTATGTTTGGGTTCCCCCGCCATGGGTCTTTTAACCAGAAAAACCCAAGTAGGCAGCCTTTACTCCACTCAGGTATCAGGAAGACGGACAAATCCCTGTCTTCCTTTTGCTCCCCACTGGACAGGTGTGTTTGTAAACATGCAAATCTACATAGATACCAGTGTCTTCCACTAGTTTTCATTTCATGCTTGTAAAAAATAATTTGTTTATTTGCTAACATTAACATCCTTTGAGCATGCATGGCATACTGTCTCCAGGGCAGGATGTCTCTAGGACTGTGCCCTGCAGACCTGCGCCCCCAGGCCTGGGCAGAGGAGCCTGGGCGGTGCTCACTCTCGAGGGTAAAGGCGTCTACGGGCATTCCCGCAGGTGATCCGCAGACACACGCTGGAGGAGAAGCTGCTGTGCCTGGTCCGGCACCGCGCCGGCCACCACTGCCAGAATGCCGTGATCGTCATCCTCATCTTGGCCTGGGAGGGCATCCCCCGCAGCCTCGGAGACACCCTCTACCAGGAGCTCACCGACACCCTGCGGAAGTATGGGAACCCCACCAGCCGGAGATGTGGCCTCAATGATGAGTATGTATTGGGGAAGGCTCACTGCAACTACTTGGGGCTCCAGGCAGTCCTGCGGAAGGGTGTCGCCCTCTGCTGGGCACTGTGTGTCCTGCAGTCAGGGCCGTGGTTCTGGCCCTGCTTGGGGAGAGGCTGTGAACTGCTCAGCTCTGCTGCCACACGCTGAGGCTCTCATGAGGCTAACAAAGATAGAAAAAGTTTTCAGGATAGTGATTCCCAGAGCCTACCCTTGTTGGGGCTTAAGCTTTGTTTATTTGCACCAAATGTGATCCTTTTAAGTATCCTGAAGTATTGACAGGTGTCTGCCCAGGCAAGTTAGAGGCCAGCTCCATGCTGCCCCAATTCCCTGTGCCCCTGCGAGCTGCCCCTTCCCACCCCAAGTCTTTGCAAGACCTGGGATCGTAGCATGTGGCCTTGGGAGTCTGGCTTCTTGCACTGAGTATCGTGTTGATCCTGTGGATGGACGTGTGTCTCATACCTAGTGCCCGTGTCCCTGAGTAACATTCCACTCATGGATGTAGCCCCATTTGCTCTCCAGTTTCCATTTGACTTGTTTCCAGATTTTAAGTGTTGAGATTTTTTTTTTAAATGTAATTATTTGACAGAGTGACGGAAGGAGAGACAGAGAGGAGTGTGATCCATTTGCTGGCTCACTCCCCACATAATTAGAGCAAGTGAAGCCAGGAGCCAGGGGCACCATCCAGGCCTCCTGTATGACTGGCAGCAATCTAACCCGTTGGGCCAGCGTCTGCTGCTTTAGCAGGAATGTAGGCAGCTCTCGATTGCACGCACTGGGATGGGGATTTTGTCCTCCCAGCAGCACCCGACCTGCTGTTCTCAGTGCCACCCTAGGGTTGTATTTGAAGATCTGTTGGCATCTGACACGCTGCAGCAACACACTTGTTCAGACGCTGCGGACTGTGTGCGTCCCGTTCGTGGGCTCTGTGTTGGGACTGGTGGCCCAAGTGTTTTTACAAGAGCCTTTCCCATTTCACAGCCTGTGCGCTTCTCCCAGCAGCAGGCTTGGGGTGGGGGTAGCGTGATGGCTTAGAGCTGGCTTTCTCCACTTGCACAGTGTGAGAAGGGGCTGGGGGCTGGGGGTGTTGGACATTGGCAGGGAGGAGGTGGACTCCAGAATGCAGGACCTCACGTCCAGGGCCTGACCTCGGGGGTCTGTTGCAGCCGGACCTGCGCTTGCCAAGGCAAAGACCCCAACACCTGCGGTGCCTCCTTCTCCTTCGGTTGTTCCTGGAGCATGTACTTCAACGGCTGCAAATACGCTCGGAGCAAGACACCTCGGAAGTTCCGCCTTGCAGGGGACAACCCCAAGGAGGTGAGCAGGGCTGTGCCTAGTGCTCTTTTCCCTGGCGTCAGGGACAGTCGGGTGGGAGGGAGGCTTGGCACACCGATGTGCAGGAAGTGGAACTGGCTTTACTCTGCTTCTTAGAGCTGTATGTTGGAGCGGCAGAGACCGTGAAAATTAGACTTACAATTACAGGTGCCTCAGGCTCTTGGGAATTAGGTCGGCTCTGTAGACTTCTCTGAATGCTTAGGATGCAGAATTAGACCCGCCCCAAGGGCCCTGTCTTGCTCACTCATTCTTCCCCCGCCTGGGAGGCACAGCAGCAAGCGGGGCTCCCCTCTGGGTCTTTGCTGAAAGCCCAGCTGCATCTCTAGTCCTGTTTGGAGAGCCTCAGTGTCTGCACGCCAGGGGCCTGGCCTGGTCCTCCGGCACTGGACCGGCAGTCCTGTATCCCGGCTGCAGCTGTCTCAGCCCCGTCACAGGAGGTCAAGGCCCCTCCACTCGCGAGTCTTCTTGGGGCTACCAGCTGTCTTCTCCTTGGTGAACCAGGATACAGAGGCCACCCGGAGAGGAAGTCACCATTCCTCCTCATGCCCCGAGGGCTGTCCAGGCTGCCCTATCACCTCCAGCCTCCCCCCTCCCTCATCCCTGAGCTCCCTGGGGTGCTGGGGGAGTTGTTGGGTCCCTTTACTGGGCCCCAGGAAGCATTCTGATCCCAGTCTTAACTTGGCAGTCTCTAAGCTCTGAGCACAGTAAGGGGTCCCCATTCTGCACAGGGCAAGGACCTCCTGAGCACATGGTTCTTTTTTTTTTTTTTTAAAGATTTATTTTTATTATTTTCTCATTGGAAAGGCAGATATACAGAGAGGAGAGACAGAGAGGAAGATCTTCCATCCGATGATTCACTCCCCAAGTGAGCGCAACGGGCCGATACTATGCCGATCCGAAGCCAGGAGCCTCTTCCGGGTCTCCCACGCGGGTGCAGGGTCCCAAAGCTTTGGGCTGTCCTCGACTGCTTTCCCGGGCCACAGGCAGGGAGCTGGAAGGGAAGCAGGGCTGCCGGGATTAGAACGCAGGGCTGCCGGGATTAGAACCGGCGCCCATATGGGATCCCGGGCGTGCTAGGCGAGGACCTTAACCACTTGCGCCACCGCGCCGGGCCCAGCACATGGTTCTTGTACCATAGTCCATGTCGGCGCCTTGGCTGCAGGCTTTGTTCGTAGAGCTTGCCGACTCCCCTTCATCCTGGCTTTTTGGCTGTTGTAGGAACGTAAGATAATCTGACTTGGTCCTAGACTTTGATTTCAAGTGGGATTCACAGTCCTCCACACTGGCCTCTGATCAGCCGAGCCCCAGGCCTGCAGGTCCCACCAACGCTTTCTCTGTTCAGAAAGCTGTGTGCTTACTCTTGCTATGTGCTGTGCCATGCACCTTGGGGTTATGAAGAGACAGCAAGCAGCCTGGTAGCAGGAATCTTGTCTAGTTCTTGGTGAAGGCAGGATTTATAGCCAGGCCTGTATTGCCCAGAGCTCACAGATCTCTCCCCTGTTCCATGCTGGCTTTGGACACCCGTGCTGGTGGCAGCACCTGGAGAGAGAGCAGGAGTAGGGGCAGTCTGGCCAAGACTGGCCGGTATGGCGGTGTGGGATTCCCACGTCCAGTCCCATTGCCTGGTTCTTTCCTCTCTTCCTCTTGCTTTCTTCATAAACTCTGCTTGTGCCCAGGGCCTTCAAGTAGACCCTCAAGTTCTGCTGGCTGCCTAGGGGCAGGGGCCAGGGAGAAGCTCTGCATACTTAAAACATGGCTGCTGGATCCAGGGGGCTGCAGCACTGCCTTGGCCAGCATTGTCCGGAGTGGTCATGCTGTGTGAGGACGTGTGGGAACCTCATGAGCCACGTGCAGCTTTTGGGCCTCTGCAGTGTGGCCAGCTCGGCTGGGAGCCGGGAGTCCTAATTATGCTCAGTGGAGATGCATTCATGGCTCTGTTGTCCTGTGTGGTTTGTACATCACACAGTAGGAGCTGTGGACCTGCCAGCTGGCGCTCTGGACCAGTCTGGCTGGGTGTCCAGCATAGATGCTGTCTGCCTGGAACTTAGGCAGAGGGGCTTGCTTGCTGCTCTGCACCTCCGAGCCAGGGTGTTCCCACCATGAAAGCAAGAACCTGCTTTATAAGGGCTCTTCTGAAGGTTCATGCAGGTGTGTGGCCTAGTGTGCCGTGTCTGCATGCATGGGTTTCCTCCAGTCTCTGCCTCCAGTCTCGATATGCAGCAGGGCCCTCCCTGCATGTGTTGAAGGGTAAACTGGTCTTGATACTAGAGAAGTGACTCAGGGGTTGATGTGTTAGGCAGGGACTTGTCACAGTGTGTGTCTCTGTGCTTGACTCGAAAGTGGACGTGTCTCTGTGCCCTCCCTGAGGGAATGCTGTGGGGACCCTGGGGTCACCTCGTCTTCCCAGAGGTACCTCGGGGCTTGTTCCGGGGGCAGTTGGCTGGGCCGTGGGTGACAGCCCTCCTCTCCACAGGAAGAAGTGCTCCGGAAGAGTTTCCAGGATCTGGCCACCGAGGTCGCCCCTCTCTACAAGCAGCTGGCCCCCCAGGCCTATCAGAACCAGGTACTGGATCCTTCTCTGCCTGCAGGTCATCCGTGTCTCCACACAGGCACCCCTGGGAGCCTGTGGAAGGAGGGTGGGCTCCTCTGTGCTCAGAAGTCAAGTGGTGGTGTGGGCCTTGGTGGATCGGGTTTTTACACCCAGCTGGCTGCACCCCACGCTGTCTCCCTTGTGTCACAATCAAACACTGCACCCCCCCTTTCCTGGATCAGCCCTTCATCTCCTGGACAGGCAAAGGAAACTCAAGACTTCCCTGAAGGAAGCACTCCTGCATGGCTTCTCAGCCAGAGGCTCCTCACAGTCCCGGTGTGAGACGCAGGGCCCTCTCAGCGCCCTCCCTCCCACCCAAGGCGCGCTCTCTGGCTGTCCCCACAGGTAACCAATGAGGAAGTAGCGATCGACTGCCGCCTGGGGCTCAAGGAAGGGCGACCCTTCTCGGGGGTCACGGCCTGCATGGACTTCTGTGCCCACGCCCACAAGGACCAGCATAACCTCTACAATGGATGCACTGTGGTAAGGAAGCCTGTGGGGTACCCCTGGGAGGAAGCCCCATGGTAGAGTGTGCAGGAAGCTCAGAGCTGCAAGGGATACTGTCACACTTCCTGCTCCCTCCCACTACCCAGAGAAATACTCCGCCAGTTCCTGCTGTGTGCCATGGGGCTTGGCCCCTTGGGCACCCAGAGGTGCCGGTTATCCTACGAGTGGTGCCAGGTCCCTGTGCACAGCTGGTTTTAAATCCCAGCCGCATTGATGGATGCAGCTGGTGAGCAGGTGCGTGCTGATTGAACTGTTCCCAGTAGCAGGGAGTGACGGGGACAGAGCCCCGTGCAAGACCATCCTTGGCAGTAGTGACAAAAGCTTGAGCTCCCAGGTGTGTGCTGGTATCTTGTCCCGTGATGCGAATCAGGGGACATTCAAGCACTCGCTCAGCAATGTCTGCCAGCAGTGCGGATGGCGGTCAGAGCAGGCTGGGAAGGAAAGGTCTGAAGAGTGTGCAGCTCATAGTTAGAGCCTTGCAGGCCCCTGGGTTCAGGTCAGCAAGGACATGAGGAGGGATGGAGCAGAGTGGATGGGGTTGGCCTGGCTGGGGACCTGCTCAGAGGGGTGCTGTCACACCTCACCGCTAAAGCCTTAGTTTACTTGAAAGGCTAAGTTGGAGAGAGGAGAGATCTTTGGTTTAATGCTTCACTCTCCAAATGGCTGCACAATTGGGGCAGTGCCAGGCCCATGCCAAGAGCTTAGAACTCCATACAGGTTTCCCACATGAGTGGCAAGAGCCAAAGCTCCTGGGCCATCTTGTGTTGTTTTCCAAGTGCACTAACGGAGCTGGAGCAGAAGCAGGGCACCCAGGACTGGAACCAGAGCCCCTGTGCAATCCGGCAGTCCAGGCAGTGGCTCAACTTGCCGTGCCATAATGCCAGCCACTGGTTTTAGCAAGGTCTTGGGCAGACAGGGCTCCTGATGGGGGTACTGGGAAAGAGGCAGAGGCACACCTCCATTTGCCTGGAAAGGGAGCTGCCTGATTCTCTCCCCTGAGCCTCAAAGGCCAGCCCAGAATTTCATTTCTATGCCTCATCTTCCCTCCTCACGGCCAAGACGAGGCAGGCTCCCGTCTGCACCTTGTCAGCTTGTCAGGAAGGTTTCTTGTAGAAATTTGGAAAGGCTGGACCCTTTGGGGTTAGGCAAGAGGTAGGGAGAACAGCTGTCTGGGAGCTACGGGGTACAGTGAAGTTAATCCAGAAGCTTGTGGAGTTACTCCAAAGTTTCTGACTTTGGGCAGGTGGAAAGTAGTATCTTTTTTTTTTTTAAGATTTATTTATTTTTATTGGAAAGTCATATATACAGAGAGGAGGATCTTTTGTCCATTGATTTCACTCCCTAAGTGGCCATAATGGCTCAGCTGATAGAAAGCCAGGAGCCTGGAGCCTCTTCCGGGTCTCCTACGCGGGTGCAGGATCCCAAGGCTTTGGGCTGTCCTCGACTGCTTTGCCAGGTCATAAGCCAAGGAGCTTGATGGGAAGTGGAGCAGCAGGGACACGAACCGGAGAACATATGGGATCCCGGCAGTGCAAGGCAAGGATTTTAGCCACTAGGGGCTACCATGCCAAGCCCTGTTTTCTGTTGAACTCCTTACTGTCAAAACCTTGATACGGCATACAAAGATTGCCTGACATCTTACCACTCTGGGCATTTTGGATGGCCATCCAGACACCCAGCCTGTGTGCGTCCACACGTAGGCTCCTGTTATATAAACATGCGGTTCTATGGCCTGCTTTTCTTGAAGATAGCTCGAGCTTTCTCATCAGCGGGTAGAAGTGGCTTCCTCACCCTCCGAGGCAGGCTGCACAGCGCTGCCAGCGTTTAACCCGTTCTCCCGTGAAGGGCAATAAGTGCTCTCCATCATGCCCAGTAGAGTGATGCTGCCTGACCTTGACTGTCAGCTTGGACTCCTGCTCACTTGGCAGGATATTGTGCAAACAATGCCATCTCCTTCTGTGTATCTTTTATTACTATTTTTCCTTGCCTGTCGATACTTGATCCTTGTGAATATCCTGTCGGTCCTGGTTAAGATAAGGATGGCCATATCTTTGAACCACTGTAATGTGTCTTGTGTGTGGTAGGGAGAGCAGCACGTTTCGTCTCCTTTGCTCTTAACCTTTGCTTAGTTGCTGTTAACACGGAGGCTTAGGGGTAGAGAGCAGGGCTGATGGCCAGTCAAGCCTGAAAATGCACAGGGGTCCAGTCCAAGGCCAGGGGACATGAGGGTGGCATGCTGTGGGAAGAGATAGGCTTGGCAGAGCAAGATGCCGAAGGAAGACTCCATGGTGAAGGATTGGTACTAAAGCTGATGCCCAAGAAGGTTCAGTTTCTGTTCAGTAATAGCATTCTTCAAGCAAAGTAGAAAGACCAGGTGGCTTGAGTCATCATTAAGACAAGCCAGTCACAGGACAGCCTGAGCGTGTTGCGTGATCTCATTTGTCTAGACACTTTTGTAGCCTGTCCATGCTTGCAGTGGTATTTGTAACAAGTGGCCAAGAAGTAGTAATGATGGCATTTACTTGATCTCAGCCAAAAGGCCAAGCCGCAGGGCACGGATGACTCTACATAAATGGGAATGGTCACGGGGGCCCACGTTTGGCTGAAAGATTTAGATAATTGTCACCTCGGGGTGCCTTGGTTGAAACCTTGACCCTGGCTGCCGGCTCCATCTTCCCCCAGTGCAGGCCCTGGGAGGCCATGTTGATGGTTCGGGTGAATGTGCACCTGCCACCCACGTGGAAGGCTCAGATTGACTCTAGCCTCCTGCCTTGCCAGCATATAAGAAATGCACTGGTAGATGGGAGTGCTCTCTCAGCAAATTTATAAAAAGTTTCAAAGTAAGCAAAAGGAATAACAATAAAACAAGCAGGTATGAAAATGATGGTCACAAAGGGAGGAGTTGATGCTGACCATACACAGCGTGGGAGCCCCGTGGGAAAGCAGCGGGCTCCATGGAAAGCCATGGTAGGGAGGAGGGAATACGCAGCCCTGAACTATGGGACAGTGCAAGGTGGGCACGCTGCCTGGCATTAGGAGTGACTGGTTCATACGGTTTCAGTGGACTCTGGGCTGAGCAGCTGGTCCCAGCTTGTGTGATACTGACCAGGGTGACTTGGAGCAAGGGGAATATTGGCTTGCTCTGTCAGTTTGAGAAAGGACATGGTTGGGGTGTGGGCTCTGGTATGGCTGTTTTGTGTGATGTCACTGGCACACCTGTAGAGGGTCATTTTCTCCATTATCAAGACCCCAGAAATACTAGGAAGTAAGAAAATAGTGTAAGAGCAGAGAAGAAACTTGAAAAAGCAGACCTGGTTGAGAAATGCTAAACCAAGAATGAAGATAAGCTTTAATATAGAGCAGAAAGTGTTGAAGGAAGTTAGTGGTAAAATTATGGATAAAACAATCAAGTTAAACACATTCTGGTTTTGATGAAAAATGGAGTCAATTTGTAGGGGAGTTTGGCAATATGTGGCACTTTTAATTCCTAACATTTGTTTTATGGAATTAAATGTCTTGGAAAGTTAAAAGGATTTTCAAAAAGTGTTGTTTATGGTAAGAGAAACAAGTAGAAATGATCACAAGACATTCAGTAGACTCAGAGGTCTTCAGAAAGTTCATGGAGAAATGAGAGAGTAATGAGAAGACTGCATGAATTTGAAATTTTTGTACAAAAATAATCTTGTCATTCCATTTTGGTACAAGCTTTTGATGTCCCGTCTTCAGCATGTCAGTCCCTGGGAGAGGAGGCAAGGTGTAAGGCATCCATCACACTAGGCCAAGATAAGCATGAGGTTAGAAAATCCTGTGCATGAGACCCAGTGCAGTTACCAAAAGGTATCTGGGCCTGTGTCTGCTCTTTTCTTTTTTTCTAGAGATTTACTATTTTGAAAGAGGAAGAAACAGAGAAAGATCTTCCATCTGCTGGTTTCCTCTGCAGATGGCCCTAATGGGCAGGACTGTTCCAGGCTGCAGCCAGGAGCTTCTGTGTCTCCCTTGTGATTGCAGGGGCCCAAGGACTTCGGCCATCCTCCCTGCTTTTCCAGGAACATTAACAGGGAACTGAATCTGAAGTAGAGCATGCAGGACTCAAACGAGTGCTCAAATGAGATGCTAGTGTTGCAGGTGGTAGCATTACCCACTGTGCTACAAGGCCAGCCCCTAAGGTTTTTAATGAAGAGAAGTAATATAAGAGCAAAAGGAGGCTGAGTATTCAGAATAGTAGTGGAAGGTCCGAGGCTCTTTGGGATGACATGGTGCAATGGCAGCAGGACTGGGCATTGGGCAGGGTAGGTCTGCCAACCCTGACCCCTTGCCAGCAGCAAGAGCCTGGGAGATCAGCTTGCCTCTAGGAGGAGCTGGAGAGATGGGAGTGTGCGTGGATGTGTGGGAGAGCTCTACAGACCCAGATGAGAGCGCCACCTAGAAATTGGAGGTAGAGGTACCCCACAGTTCCAGGTGTGTGGGGCGCCAACTTCTGTCCTCTCCCTCCCCGACTGAGCCAGGTCTGCACCCTGACCAAGGAAGACAATCGCTGCGTGGGCCAGATCCCTGAGGACGAGCAGCTGCATGTGCTCCCGCTCTACAAGATGGCCAGCACAGACGAGTTTGGCAGCGAGGAGAACCAGAACGCCAAGGTGGGCAGCGGTGCCATCCAGGTGCTCACTGCCTTCCCCCGTGAGGTCCGCCGCCTGCCCGAGCCCGCCAAGTCCTGCCGCCAGCGGCAGCTCGAGGCCAGGAAGGCAGCAGCCGAGAAGAAGAAGATGATGCAGAAGGAGAAGCTGAGCACTCCGGAGAAGATCAAGCAGGAAGCCCTGGAGCTGGCTGGTGTCACGCCCGACACAGGTGCGTGTGGGAGGGCGCCTGGAGCTGCCGGGCCTGGCCTCCATGATGGTCCCCACTCCCCAGCACACCCGTGTCCGGCAGCATGCCTCTCATGCTCACCCCTGCTCCCACTTGAAGCAGCATCCCCTGGGGGTGTGCCCCAAGACCTCTGGTGCCTGTAGTTCCCCATTCCTCTGGGCCCCAGCACCTTCCGGGGGGTATCCCACCAACTCATAGGGATTGCAAAAGTGCTGTGGATACTGCCCAGCTGCCTGTGGGCTCAGGCCTGTGCCAGGTGGTGCCCAGGAGCACATGTCGGTTGCAGCTTGTTCCTCTGCAACTCACCTGACCTGCCCTCCCCAAAAGGGAAAACACCTTGAAATAAATAATGAGGATTGATTTGAAAGGTGGAGTTAGAGGTTTTCATCTGCTGATTCACTTCCCAAGTGGCTGCAATAGTTAAGCTGGGTCAGGCTGAATCCAGGAGCCTGGAACTCCATGTGGGTCTCCTACCTGGATACAGACGCCCAAGCACTTGGCGATCTTCTGCTGTTTTCCCCATGATCTTTGGCAGGCAGCTGGACCAAAGTTTGCAGAGCGCTGGGACTTGAACCAGTGGCACTCATAAGAGATCCCAATGTCATGGCACAGGCCCCTAGGGCACTCATCATTAGGAATGGGCCTTGCCAAGCCGTGGGGGTCCCGGCACCTTGTCCACCTCACCCCTTTTTTTACCCACAGGCCTGTCTCTGAAAGGGGCGTTGCCGCAGCCAGGCCTAAAGCCCTCGCTCAAGGTGGAGCCACAGAACCACTTCAGCTCCTTCAAGTACAGCAGCAACGCGGTGGTGGAGAGCTACTCGGTGCTGGGCAACTGCCGGCCCTCTGACCCATACAGCGTGAACAGCGTGTACTCCTACCACTCCTACTACGCACAGCCCAGCCTGACCTCCGTGAACGGCTTCCACGCCAAGTACGCGCTGCCCTCATTCGGCTACTATGGCTTTCCACCCGGCAACCCCGTCTTCCCTTCCCAGTTCCTGGGCCCCGGGGCCTGGGGCCACAGCAGCAGCAGCAGCAGTGGCAGTTTCGAGAAGAAGCCAGACCTCCATGCGCTGCACAGCGGCCTGAGCCCGGCCTATGGTGGTGCTGACTTTGCCGAGCTGCCGGGACAGGCTGTTCCAACTGATGCCCACCTCCCCACGCCTCCCCACCAGCAGCCTGCTTACCCAGGCCCCAAGGAGTATCTGCTTCCCAGAGCACCCCAGCTCCACACGGCTTCCCGGGATCCCGTGCCCTTCTCCCAGAGTTCCAACTGCTACACCAGATCCATCAAGCAAGAGCCCGTAGAGCCGCTGGTACAGACCGAAGCTGCTCCCCGAGAGCTGGGCAAGCTGGGCAAGCCACCTCTGCCCGAGGCATCTCAGAACGGGGGGCCCAACCACCTGTGGGGCCAGTTCTCTGGAGGTGCCAACATGTCTCCCAAGAGGACCAATGGTGTGAGTGGTAGCTGGGGTGTGTACCCTCCTGGGGACAGCCCTGCCGCTGCTACAGACAAGCTTGGCTCCTTCGGGGCTGGCTGCCTGACCCCTTCACACTTCCCGGAGGGCCAGTGGGGGCTGTTCCCTGGTGAGGGGCAGCAGTCAGCACCCCACACCGGGGGGCGCCTGCGAGGCAAACCCTGGAGCCCCTGCAAGTTTGGAAGTGGCACTGCTGCCACTGCCTCTGCCTTGCCTGGGCCCGGCCTGACAGAGAAGTCGTGGGGTGTGGGTGCAGCAGCAGATCTCAGTGCTGCCCTCAAGGGCTCACCTGGGCTGCAAGACAAGCTGTGGAACCCCCTGAAAGGGGAGGAAGGAAGGATTCCGACGCCTGCGGCGGGCCAGCTGGACAAGGCTTGGCCGGGTCTTGGTGGGCCTCTGGGTCCGGGGACGGACAAGCTGTGGGAGCCCTTTGGCCTGGAGGAGGGTCCTGCAGCAGCAGCGGCGGCGGCTTCTGGAGCGCCTGGAGCAGTCGGTGAGGAGCCCGCCTCCAAGGGGGCCGTGAAAGAGGAGAAGGCTGGAGAGGAGGAGGAGGAGGAGCTGTGGTCAGACAGCGAGCACAACTTCCTGGACGAGAACATCGGCGGTGTGGCCGTGGCACCGGCCCACGGCTCCATCCTCATAGAGTGTGCCCGGCGGGAGCTGCATGCCACCACACCACTCAAGAAGCCCAACCGCTGCCACCCCACCCGCATCTCGCTGGTCTTCTACCAGCACAAGAACCTCAACCAGCCCAATCATGGGCTGGCGCTCTGGGAGGCCAAGGTCAAGCAGCTGGCCGAGCGGGCTCGCGCCCGCCAGGAGGAGGCAGCGCGCCTGGGCCTGGGCCAGCAGGAGGCCAAGCTGTACGGCAAGAAGCGCAAGTGGGGCGGCACCGTGGTGGCCGAGCCGCAGCAGAAGGAGAAGAAGGGGAGCATCCCCACGCGGCAGGCGCTGGCCATGCCCACAGACTCGGCCGTCACCGTGTCCTCCTACGCCTACACGAAGGTCACTGGCCCCTACAGCCGATGGATCTAGGTGCCAGGGAGCCAGCGTACCTCAGCGTCGGGCCCAGCCCGAGCTGCCTCTGGTGCTTTCGCCCTCATGCCTGGGGGCGGGTTGGGGGTGCAGAAGTCTTTTTATCTCTATACATATATAGATAATGCATATCATATATATGTATTTATGGTCCAGACCTCAGAGCTGACCCGCCCCGTCCCCCACTTCCCCAGCACTTTGAAGAAACTACGGCTGTCGGGTGATTCCCCCCCCCATGATCTTAATATTTATATCTCCACCTTTTTTCCCTCCTCTCTTCTTTGGAGGGGCTTTTATTTCCTTTGTTTTTAAAACTCTATCCTTGTATATCACAATAATGGAAAGAAAATTTATAGTGTCCTTTCACAAAGGAGTAGTTTTAAATTCCATTTAAAATGTGTATTTATTGGGTTTTTTAAAGCGACAATAGTAATGGTAAAGGATGGGCAGGAAAGGCCAGTGGTTGCTCGCTCCTGCTCAGGCCAGCTGGGCCCAGGAGCGGGGACAGCCCCCCAGGCTGTCCCTCCCTGCCACCAGCCCCTGAGCTCTGCTGCAGGAGGGGAGAGTCTGTATGTAGCCAAACAACCCCGGCTTGCCACTGGGGGCCCCACCCTGGACACCCTGGCCTAGATCTCCCCCAGAAATCAGGTTGGAAGTAGACAGCTTCAGGCTTGGTAGTCTCCACACTGAATCCACTGTCCGTTATTTATCAAGTCACACATTGTCACGGCTCACTAGGCAGCACCTGGGAGCTGAAGGGGCCCCCAGGAGCCAGTGAATTTGGCGCTGAAGGAATCTGAGTGGCAGTTTTTGCAAACGCTCCCCACCCCCAAAGTCTATGCTGGGATGGAGCAAAGGGCTACTGTATCTTTCAAAAGTCAGAAGTTGAATCCAAGCTGTGAAAAGCCCGGCATGGCCCTGCCCTCGGTGCGCAGGGCTGTGCGGAAACTGGTGCTGTAGCAGAGCCTGGTGCTGTCTCCTCCAGGCTGGGACTCCAGCTCCGCGGGCAGGTTGCAGCCTGCGGGAGCTTGGCGGGGTAACAGCGGTGAGCACGTCCACCCCTCCTCATGTCCACGTTGGACCCTGGTGCATGCCTCCCCGAGCCTGCCCCCTCCGTGCTCCTTCGGGGTGGGGCTGGGGGGCAACCCTTACCAGTTTTAAAGTGCAAGAGTCACATGTTTCTCAGCAGGTTGCTATGATTCTCCTCTCTCATTGGTGCCATTTCTCCATCTGATCATGTCCTCTCCTTCCTTCCCTCTCCACTCACTTCAACACACCTGTTCTAAAATTTTGGTGCATTTGTTCAGTTCTTTGAGGATGTGGTGCTTAATTCTTTGTGACATTATTGAGCTAGGTTGGGCCCGGCAGGTGGAAGCAGCCCTCCCCTTCAGCAAGGCAGGCTTCTTGGAGTGTGTTTTCCTGTGGCATTGACAGAAGGGAAGTCCGGCTACCTGTGGGGACGTATGTGGTGAGTGTGGGAGAGGCAGGCGGCCGCCACGCCCTGGGATCATCATTCGGTATTTCTCGCGCAGTCTTTGTCAGACGTAGGTCCTCATTCATCAGTAGAGTCTAACAATCAGATGATGATGCTGAAGGCAGGCGAGTCCCTGAGCTTCCAGGTGCCTTGTGTAGGAGCGGAGAGCTGGCCGCTGGGCGCTCCTGGGGCCTCGGCTGCGAACGCCAGCGGGATGGCCGCAAGACGTCCTGTGCATTCACGTGGTCTGCTTTTCACTGTATATAGGGAGAGAGTTTTTTAAGCACTTTTGCCTAGATTTAAGCAGCAACTTGAAAAAAAAAGTTTTAACATGTAATTGTGGGAGAAACTGTAAATAGTAACTGAATATTTAATGTGCTTTGTCTATCCTCCACTTTGACCATATTCTGTAAAGTTGCATTTATTTTACAGGACAAAAACAAAATATTATTGTTTTGGAAATAAATACCCAAGAGCTTATCAGGACTTAGAATTATTCAGAATTCAGATTTATAGGAAAAAACCTCTGACCTTCAGTGTGACAAGCTAAAGGAAGCAGAGTCTTAACAAGCATGCTAATTTTCTAGTTTTGAGGAAGAGTTGGGTCCTTGAAATGCTATTTTGCTTATCGCATCAGTACTCTTATGCAGGTCTCATTTGACTCCGTGCTTAGGTAGATGCGGGGGTGCCTTGAAAACTTCATTTTAAATGATCTTAAGCAAGAGATATGCTATTTTACGAAAACATGTGGCGACTGTGACTGTCTGCGTGACCCGTGGAAGCCCCAGGTTGGCTGTTGGTTTGGAAGGTCCCGCGTGTAACCCAGGTGATGCCCGTGCTGGGCAGGTGTGAATCTTCCTGTGTGTCCGGTATGCTTCCCGCCCCCCACCCCGGCCCCTTGGTAGCAAAGCCATTAGATGCAAGGAGAACCCAGTACAAGCGCGAAGCATGTGACAGCCGTGCCCCCTCCCCGTGCCAGCCCATGAGCGACTAGGGTAGGACGCAGGCTGCTGCGAGGTGAGGCCGCGGGGCCCCCCCGCCAGCCGAGCCGGCCCGTGCCCACTCTCCACACTACACGTGTAACCTACCTCAAAGCTCAGTCATTGACGTCCGCATGCTTTAGTTGTGTGCTTCAAACGTAACTATGCACAGCTCTTTGTCTCCCCCGTGCTGCTGAAGGTTTCCTAGAAGAAGCAGATTTTTATTTTTTACTGGCACTATCATTTTTTTAAAAGTCCTAAAAATGATTGACATTTGTATCATGAGAAGAAAAATAAAGCCATCGCAATTACAGAACCTAAAGCATGACCACGTCCTAAGAGTGCCGACATGGTGACAGCAGACAGGGCCTGAGTCCCCGCCACCACCCTCGCGCAGTGCAGGCACCCCCCCCCCCACGTTGTTTGGTTTTTCTCTGCCTTGGTGTGTGAGGGAAGCACTTGCCGAGTTCTTAGCTAAGAGATTTTCCCCCCCAGAATAGAAGTTGCTTCACGGCAGGTTCTCACAAAATAACTGGTGCTAGCTTAAAAAACCCTTACCTAACCCCTGGCAGCCTGGCTGCAGGTCTCGTGCTGGGCAGAGTCGGCGACTCCCAGCCCGGCTCCCTGGGTTCCTCTACCTTCTGAGAGGACAGCGTGGGCGTGGCGACAGGTCCCCAGCGGGGCCCCTCAGGCCTCTCTGGGACAGAGTGACCTTCCTGAAGTGAGGAATGAAGCAAAGCTTAGGGCTTTGCAGATGTGTAGGTGTGTGAGGCCGGGTGCCAGGGAGTAGAAGGAATGTGAAGTCGTTGAGCGAAACCCAGCCAGACTTGCTTCTCCACTGTTTCAGCACAGCAGGGTGTCGCAGTGAGGCAGAGCTGGCCGAAGACTCCTATCCCTGACGTGCCTCAACTAAGCTCTCTTCCCTTTTGTTACTGCAGTGCGTTTTATGGCCTAGGAAGCATTTTTATGAATTGAAATCGTCTAAATAAAATGGTGCTACGGTGTTTTAATGTGACTGTCCCTGATCCTGTCTTGCTGAGGTGCTAGCCCCATGCTGAAACCACAACCAACCAAAAACGAGGTGGGCTCCAGTCTCTCGGCTTCTTCGTGTCCCCTCACCCCATCCTTCTTTTGGTGCTGTCTTTGGAAACCTCTGTTTACCATGCTTGGATCCGCTCTGGGCGGCTGTTTTGCTTTGTTCCACTGTTCTTCCCCTAGTGGCCAAAAACGGTCCCAACCAAGGCAGGTGGGGAAGCGGCCAGCTCCCTCACTGTACAGGGGACTGGGGTTTGCCTGGCGGGCAGGTGCATTCTGACACGCAGGCCTGAGGAGCGGTTGCAGAGAGGAGTGAGGTGCTCCCGCCCCTGTGGGTGTGGCCGCCGTCGGCAGAGCCCGGAGCGGCCCAGGTGCTAGGCAGACATCTCTGGGAGGGGTCCTGCCGGGACCAGGGCGGGCAAGGGGCACACTCCCCACAGCTCGCAGCCTGTACCCAGTGTGGACCCTCCCTTGTGGGCAATGCCTCATGTTGAAGCTTTCCAGGTTTGCTGGGGCTGCTTCCTAGTTGGTGCTGTTATGAATTTTCTTGGGTCCACAGAAGCTGATGTTTCCAAAACTCCACAGGAAGCCCCACTGTGTGTCATCCACTGTCACCGTGGTTTTTTTTTAAATACCTCAAAAACACGACATGGTGACAACTTGGCGAGGTGGTGTCCATGAGGGTCTGATTCCTGTGGGTGGTCCATCTGACTGTGTCCTGGACCCTGAGGAGTCTCAGGGTCACTCTGGTTTTCCATCTCAGCAGTCAGCATCACTGAAAGAACAAAAGCAGGTAGGCTGGGGTGGTTGACTGAGTCTCAACTTTGCTTTAAAACAGTGCGACTCTCCTGCCTGCCCACAGCTCCCAGTTTGGCCCTGGCGCGGGGGGCGTGGGCTGGAGTGACACCCCCTGAATCTAGTTCCTCTGCAGCATGTGCTCTTGTGCACATGCACAGCCAACTTTAGTGTCCTCTGGACCAAAACCAACACTTTGAGGTGCACACCCCCAGCCTTGCTTGTCCTGCCCCACCGGTGCTCCCAGCTCTTGTCCTGTGGGCAAGAGTCCAGCAATAGCTTCTCCCCTGAGCAGAGGCTGCAGCGCAGAAATGCCAAGTCTGCAACCCCCCCCCCCTTTTTTTCTTTGCTCCCAGAGTCGGTGAGCGGGTTGATGTACTTCCTTGTTGGCTTCTGTTCTGATGATCAGGGATGCTTTCCGAGTGGTACTGTCCTGTTCTCCTGTGACAGAACAACCTGTCAGCCACCCGGGGGGAGCTCCGTGCAAACCCAACCGGCTCATGTGAACATTCCAAACTGTCTTGGTTCCCACACAGGAATTCTTGTTTCTTTTCTTTGGTGAAGGGAGAGGAGAAGAGAGCAGGAGTAATGTCATTTCTTTTCCATGTGTTCAAGACAGGTGGCAGAGTGGAAATATGAACGCATTAGACTTAATCTAGAACCCCTGTAGTTTTTTGAGGTGTTTTAGTTTTTTATCTCTTCAAATTCCTGTTTGGTTCCCTGGCTTCCAATGGAGGTGTACTTAACAACCATACTTGAATATTCCGTCTTTGTAAACTGTGGCTACTTGAAATGAAGTTTATCTGGGGTTGATGGATGAATGGTAGATTTTTTGCAATGTCTCAAGGCAATAGGATGTGTATTATTAAACTGTAGATATTCTTAGTAAATTTATGCTGATAATTTTATTTTGTATAATTTTTATCTTTTCGTTAATTTTTTCCTTCTGCTTTTATTGGTTTGCCTCCTGATGACCCCTCCTCACCCTCCCTTCCTGCCCTCCCCAGTGTTTCAGTAAATTTAATTTAGGGTGCCTAGAAATTGCAAGTATGTATCCTTTTTTGATTTGTATTTTATTATAATTTACACAAACAACTGGGTTTGTGAACTGTATTACTCCTGGTATCTTTAAAATATTGTGGGTGTTTTAATAAATTTTATATTTATTTTTTGCACTCAAATTTGGTGTGGTTCCTCTTTTCTCTCTCCCTTGCACTTGGACTTGAGTGGGGGTACACAGGGGCCGTGTGCGGAGAGCCCTTACCATGGGCACTGCAGATTCCTGGCGGCTCAGGACTGAGGCCAGCAGCCAATACAGCCGGAGCAGACACCTCCTTCGCCGGTCTCTTGTTTGTTTCCATTTGTCTTTCAGCCCCCCGTTTCACTGCGCTTGGAGACAGCTTCCTCTCCTTAAAGTCTGCAGGCTCTCCCTCCTGCCAGTGGCAGCTGTTTGGAAGAGGCAACTGTGAACTAAGAAGACTAGAGCGTCCATGTGAGCTGCTGGGGCAGAACCCCGCATTCACAGCAGGTGCCAATCGCAAAGTGTAGGCTGTACTCATTTTGTTTCAGCAGCACCTTCTGCTTGAGCCTTAACACACACATATCCTAGAACCTAAGAGGGTGTGTGCGTGAGAGAGAAAGGGGACACATATACTAACTTGCTTTTTTTTTTTTTGCCTCTTGTACAACGAGACCCACTTCTGTCGCTTTCTAAGCCCATCCTGTAGACCCCGCGTCCAGGGCTGGCAGGAAGGCCAGGACTGAGGGAGCATGAGGAGTTACCAACATTTCCTGTATGCAAAGACCCCCCCATGTGTCAGGGCATTTCAGAACGTGCAGGGAAATGCACATGCAGAGATGAGTTTTTTTGGTACCTAAATTTAATTCCATTTTTCATAAATGTTCTGCATTGCCCTTGTGATGTGTATTTTTAAGTGGAGTGCAGTAATTTTGCTGTTGTAATGTTTTTACTTACATAGTTAAGATTGATTCCTTGAAAGAATGACAGGAAGAGAGATCTTCCTTTTTTATTATTTTACAATGCGGTTTCCTATGCTCTGAGGTTCCCCGCCCCTCACTGATCTCCCCACATCGCCACTGTAACCCCACACGCAGGCATGGACAATGGCAGAGAGTCCAGCACCTTTTTGGCACATTTCTTTGGGGGTTCAGCTTTGGAAGTAGAGATGCATACTGTATTGATTGCCATCTTCACAATTGGTTATGATAGTTTTTATTACACAGTTACTATACTTCCCCTTAAAAGCCATGAATCAAAATCGACAGCGGGAACAAAGGAACAGTAATCATTTACCAATAAGTAATAATAATTTAATTATTTATTACAATTTTTTTCTTCCTAAATTAAAAAGCAAAAGTATCAAATCCCATGAGATGTAGGAAAATAGGACATTCCTAATGTCTCCTCTCACTGACCCCAGTGTTTTATAGTAAAATTGTCAAGTATAGTCTTGATTCCGACTTTCCGCTTTTTATATGGGTCAGGACGTGGTCGGCATAGGTAAGGACAGAGGCTCATGTTCTGTCTGGGTACGCTCAGGAGCTCGGGGCTCTACTTGGACTCAGTTGTAGGGATGTATTCTGTCAGTTTTCTTTGATTCCTGGTGCTCTGGGCTCCATTACATCCTTTGTTTATGAGATTACAAGTGTATGTTTACCTTAGTTTTTGTTTTGTATTCTCAATGGAGGTTGTCTAATATTAGAGTGAACATATATTTGTCCTTTTGGGAGAAACAGAGCTTCCATTCACTGCTTTGCTCCCCAAATGGCTGCAGTGGCCGGTGCTGAGCCAGTCTGAAGCCAGGGTGCAGGGTCCCACGGACTTGGGCCATCCTCTGCTGCCTTCCTAGGCCACGAGCAGGGAGCGGGGTGGGAAGTTGGAGCTGCTGGGCCTCAAAGCGGCGCCTGCCGCACCACAACACCCACTCCTAATTGTGCCTGCATCTGAGTTGTTCTCACCAAGTGTGCTTCCAGGAAAGGATCACAGTGAACTGTGCATCATCCACGTGCCTAATCCCCGTACCTCCCTTGACGGTCACCAGTCCCACCTGTGCCATCTGCTGCACCAGCTCCTTCTCTCGCCTACAGCGTTAGTCCACGTGGCAGGATCTTAAGGAAACGTACAGGTTCATTCACAGGAGACTCGGGCTGATTCAAGCCCAGAAACCCAGAACCCAACAGTTGGACTGCGAAGGTTGTTGGCTTTCTAAACCAGAGGCCTGGCTGCCCTCCCCTCCCAGGCTGATGTGGGATGCAAGGATCAAATGAGTGTGTAACAAAGGCCCTACTGCCACAGCAGGTAAGTTACACTCTCATTCTTGTAGCTTAAGGTGAGTAACCAGGCCAGCCCCAGTCTGAGGGCACAGAGGGACCTCACCCGTGCACGGCTCTTGGGACTCCCCAGCTGTGCTGTTCATGAAATTCATTTTGAAAAATACGAGGGGAGAGAGACCTTAACTAGTTTGCTCCCCAAATGGCCACAACAGCCAGGGCTGGGCTAGCCTCAAGTCAGAGCTGCTGCTTTTTCTTTTGTTAAGATCTGTTTTATTTTAATTGAAAAGTCAGATATGCAGAGAGGAGGAGAGACAAAGATCTTCTGTCCAGTGGTCCACTCCCCAGGTGGCTGCAATGGCTGGAGCAGAGCTGATCCAAAGCCAGGAGCCTCTTCCAGGTATTCCACGTGGGTGCAGGGTCCCAAGGCTTTGGGCCATCCTATAATGCTTTCCCAGGCAATAAGCCAGGAGTTGGATGGGAAGTGGAGCACCAGGGACACAAACTAGCAGTGTGCACATGGGATCCCTGCATACGCAAAGAGAGGACTCTGGCCACTAGGCTACCTTGCCAAGCCCAACACATCCAACTTTGGCTCAGCCCGGCTCTAGCTGTTGCAGCCTTTTGGAAAGTGAGTCAGTAGGTGGAAGATCTGTCTCTACTGGTCTCTGCAGATTTGCTCTTCAATAAAAATAAAGCTTTTGTTTGAAGATTTAATAGCACAAAGAATAACACATATCAAGCACATTAAGCCTCTGTGGTACCAGCATCCCTTACGGGCACTGGTTCGAGTCCCATCTGCTCCAGTGCAAGGAGGACGGCCCACAGCTATGCGCCACTGCAGCTACCTGGCGAGTGAACCAGCGATGCAGGATCTCCGTCTCTCCTCTCTGTACTCTCGCTCACTCTTTGCAGTCTCTCTCCCTTCCTCTCCCACTCTGCCCTCGAGCTGCCGTGTCTCCTATCACCTAGTCTGCTTCTCTCTGAGTGAGAAGTCTCTACTCATCTCTCTTCTCTCTCCCCTTCCCTGTTCATCTATCTGGCCTCTCTCTGCTTCTCTAATTCTTGCTGTGTCTGTTCTCCTTCACCCGTCTCTCCTCTTCCTCCCCTCTCTCCTTCTGTCTTTCTGTCCTTGATCTGTATTCCGCCTCCTCTTGATGCTTCTCCATCTCTCGTTCTGCCTCTCCTCCCTTTCTGTCTCCTCTCCCCTCTGTTTCTCCTGCTCTGTCCTTTATCTGTCACTCACTCACTCTCCCTTGCTGATCCTTTATCTCTTTGTCTGTCTCCTCTCTCCCCTCTTTGTCCTTGTCGGGCTCTCCTTCTGTCTCCCCCTTCTTCTATTTCTCCGTTCCACCCCCCAATGCCTAACCCTAACATTCCTCTGCTTCTCCTTTCCCACTCTGTCCTTTAACACTTTCTCTTCTCTCTTCATTGCCCCTCTTCTTTCTGTCTGACTCTCCTTCTCTTCCTCTCCTCTCCCGTGCTCGCTCTCCCCCGCCCGCTTGCCCCTGGGTACTGTCTTCATCTTCTCTCTGCCTCTTCTCTCTCTTCCCCTCTCTTCCCTTCATCTATCATTGTCTCTATCCTCCCCCTCTTCTCTTTCTCCTCTTTTTTTTTTAAAGATTTATTTTTATTATTATTTTTTTTTATTGGAAAGGCGGATATACAAAGAAGAGAGACAGAGGAAGATCTTCCGTCAACGGCTGATGCTATGCCGGTCCAAAGCCAGGAGACTCTTCCGGGTCTCCCACGCGGGTGCAGGGTCCCAAGGCTTTGGGCCGTCCTCGACTGCTTTCCCAGGCCACAGGCAGGGAGCTGGAAGGGAAGCGGGGCCGCCGGGATAGAACCGGCACCCATTTTCCCCTCTTTTTTAAGATTTATTTTTATTGGAAAGGCAGATATACAGAGAGGAGGAGAGACAGAAAGCTCATCTGATGATTCACTCCTCAAGTGGCTGCAATGGCCAGAGATGACCGGATTCAAAGCCAGGAGCCTCTTTTGGGTCTCCCATATGGGTGCAGGGTCCCAAGGCTTTGGGCCGTCCTGGACTGCTTTCCCAGGCCACAAGCAGGGAGGGAGCTGGCTGGGAAGCGGGGCTGCGGGGACACAAACCAGTGCCCATAGGAGATCCCAGCGTGTGCAACCCTTGTCTCCTCTCTCTGCCTCCATCTTTCATTGTTTCATCCCAACTTCCTCCATCGCTCCTGTGTCCCACTGTTCTCACTTTGTATCTCTCCCCATTTCTGCTTCTATCCTCATTATTCTCTATTCGCCCTTCTCTTCCTCTGTCCTTTACCTGTCATTGTCTTTCTCCATCTCCCTCTCTGCCTCTTCTCTTGCTCCTTTTCACCCTTTCCTCCTTTCTCACTTTCCATCTCTTCTATCTTCCTCTTCTCCTCCTCTCAGTCTCTGCCACTCACTCCTCTCTCACTTCCTGACTCTCATTCTGTCTGCCTTTCTCTGCCTCATCTAACTCCTTTCTCTCCTCCTCCCTTCATTCCCCTCTCCCACTTTCCGTCTCTCCTCTCCTCTCACTGTACATCTCTTTACATCTCTGTCACTCCTCCTCTGTTCTTTCACCTCCTTTTCCCTGATCACCTCCCCCCTCCCTGTCATTCTGCTGTCTGTCCTACTGCCTCTTGCTCTCTGCTTGATCTGTCATATCTGTCTCTTTCCTCTCTCTTTCCTTCTGTCTCTCTCTCTCCTAATCCCATCTCCTCTCGGTCTCTCCTTCCCATCCTCTTATCTTCTACCCCTTCTTGGCCTCTCTTTTTTCATCTCTCATTTTTGTTTCTTCCTCCATCTTTCCCACACTGTTTTTTTCTGCCTCTCCTCTTTTGCCCACCCTGTCTCTCTCATTCTCCTTGTTTTCTTTATCTGTCATTGTCTC